ACTAACCCTGAATAAATTCGTTGTCTGTTCAGGGTGAGTAGTGCTTGTCTGCTATCTGTATAGATGAGCATGTTCCTTCCAGTGACATTGTTTCTGGTTATCTCTTTTGCTGCTATGATAATCCCCGTTAGCTTTGTTTGAACTACATTATTCCCTTAATTAGGTCCAACAAACCCAAAAATAATCCCTCTTCCTACCGCCCCATATCCCTCACCTGCAACGCCTGTAAATTAATAGAAATAATTCTGAACAATAGATTAGCATGGTTGCTAGAAAAGAAAAATCTTATTATATCTCAGAAAAATGGATTTAGAAAAAATGAAATACCATAGATGATATTATAACGCTTAAATCAGAAATTACGGAGGCATTTTCAAATAAACAAAACCTAATTGCAATTTTCTTCGATATCAGTAAAGCATTCGATACAGCTTGGAGGCACTATATCCTCGTCAACATGAAAAATTGGGGTATTGCAGGAAACTTTTTAGCATTTACAAAAAACTTTCTAAGTAACAGAACCATACGGGTAAAAGCTAATGGAACACTCTCTACACAGAGACTACTAACAAATGGAACTCCTTAAGGAGCGGTCTTGAGTCTCACTCTCTTTCTGATAGCAATTAATAATAAATTATTGCAAAAATCAATAAAAATTTTAGAAAATTGGTCAAAAACCACAGACTTCATGTTCTTCGATGAAAAATTAAAATATATCATATTTAACAAGAAGAAAAAACAGTTTTAAGTTGACATTCACTTGAATAACATTGAACTGAAACAAGTGGATTCAGTAACATTCTTAAGCATGACATTTGAGTCACAACTGAAATGGAACCAACACATCAACAACTTAACAAAAGCGTGCCAGCAAAGAATAACTTTACTAAAAACTCTTTTAAATCATACATGGGGCGAAGACACAAGAAATCTTATTCAAATATACCAAACAATAATTAGAAGGAAAATAGACTATGGCTCAATTTGTTATGGATCCGCTAACAAAACGCTACTTAAAAAGCTCGACGTAGTCCAACATACATGTTTACGTATCGCATTAGAAGTATTCAAAACTAGCCCAACTGAAAGCCTTCTAGCTCTCGCAAGTGAACTATCTCTAGAGCTAAGAAGACTGTTCCTATCCCACATTGCAGCTTTTCCTGCCCGTCCATATCACGCTCCCAAAAATAATAAATATATTTCTTTCTATCACAGATTAAAACTTACAAATTATAACATAGAATTTCATCACCTTGGAAAATCAAAATTCCCAATTTAAATACCTTATTATTAGGAAATATGTACAACTCCATAATAAGCAAATATCCAAAATACACAAAAATATTCACGGATGCTTCCAAATCAAATTCTGGTTTGGCCGCTGCAGTTGTAATCGGTAACAGCACCTATACATACCGTATCCCAAGTTAATGCAGCATTGGCGAAGTTACAGCTATTCTGGAGACGTTAAAACTGTGCATAGAAACAAACACGGAAAACATTTTAAAAATCTCCGATTCATAAGTGTCCTCCAAGGCATAAAACAATCCAATCCTTCAGAAAATAAAAGAACAACTTAGTCTTGCAAGATCAATCAAAAACAATTGAATTTTTATGGGTACTTTCGCATGTAGGAATAGCTGGGAATGAAAAAGCCGATCAAACTGCACTTGAAGCTGCCAAAAACAATGGCGAACTATATAGTAATTTAATACCATCTTCAGACCATAGTCATAATATTAAAGAACACATTCAAAACTTATGGGAAATTAAGTTTAACCAGCATAGTTCAAAACTGCATGAAATAAAACAAAAACCATATAAAAAATTAGAATTACCAAAATCTCGAAAAGACCAAACCAAAATAAATAGACTCAGAATCAGGCATACAAAAATGATGCATCAATACCTCTTCAAGAAAGAATCCCCCCACAATGTGATATCTGTGCGGTTCAAGTGTTGGTAAAACATGTGCTCATAGTGCCCAAAATATTTCTGGAAGCTTTAAAAACATTATGACAACACACTCGAACAGAGTTATTGAATTCCTAAAATTAACGTCTGTTTCCTTTATAAATACTGTATTGTATATACCATACCGATAATAACCTTAGTAGTTGATGCGGTTAAACGATAAATAAAAAAAAATTATACTTTTTTTGTTAAAAAAGTTAGCAACCCTACCTCTACCCCTTGAGCCAGCAAATGTACAAATATGTGTACCTTTTGCTTCTTAAACCTGCTACTGTAAAATATTTTTTTACCCCTTACGCGTCTGCTTATGTAATAATATTTAGCCCATTTATACCTTAAGCCTGTTTATTGTTAAAAATATTTGGTCCCTTTATCCCTTAAGTCTATAGATGTAAGAACATTTAGGCCCTTTTACCTTATCCCAATATAGAATTCCGATTGAAGTTTGTTAAAATTCGTGCAAAAATCATTTTTCTTCTCGTGTAATAAGAGAGCGTGTCTATTATCTTGTAGAAGAATTAATATGAAATAAAATCAATTATAAATTATGAACATCAAAATTTGTATTTGCAGAAATCTGACAATGTATATTTCTAAAAATCAGTATCTTAAACCTGACAACATGAATGAAAGTTACTTCTAGATTATAATTTTTTCGTAATCTATTTTATAGTAGAAAGTAAAAAACCTCTTGATATGATTGATTTCTTTTATATCATCTTTATGAGCCTTCGTTAAAGTAATAGTCTAAGGCAGTTGCTTTTCAACGAGAAATTTTTACAACACAAAAACTAGATTCATATCAATTTTATAAACATACCTAGACGTGATTTCTATTTATTTACCAAATTTAAATTAAATTGTGCAATACATACTGCTGGTATTCTTATTCTAGTCAGTTTCTATTTGTATTACAAAAAACAGTAATTTATTATTTTTAAACTATTTACAATAAGAACATTTGGTTTATTTACAAAAATATTAAAGCAATATTAAATACCTATTACAGTTAGTTATACATATAAATAATAAATTATACTTATGTCTCAATCTTTCGTTACATTTTCAAATGTGTTTTTATACCTACTATTATGTAGCCAATTTTCATATTTATAAATGCTAATTGGAAAATTATATAATGAATTGCATTCAAAAATAAATATTACTGAATTTAACATAGTTTAGAAAGCTATATCTAAGTTAACATTAAAATAACACATAATTACAAAAAGGCCTTTTAGCGATTCTGATTCCAGCTACATAATAACTGTTGATTTAATTATTATTGAACTATGAACGAAATTAATGAAATAATCGGTAATTAAAAAACTTCCTATACCATAAAAAATATTCTTCTGTTGTTCATCAGAGATTATCGATTTTTTTTAGCTTCAAACCAAAATCAGCACGATAAGTCAATTTAGGAAAGGACCAGGCATGGCTTCGGTGAAATGTCCAACTCAATCCTATGACTAGTTTTGATATACAAAGCGATGAATTTGCAATTTGGTTATTTTTTAAAAACAAACTGCTATGATTTCAGATATTTTTCGAGAATGATGCTTTACTAATATCAAACAATATTTCCAGTATAACATATGACGTAAATTATAATTCTGTATCTGTAACGTGTGGAGGGTGGGTTACGCCCACGACACTTAGACATCACTAGGCCCATTGTGCATCCTCCCAAGATGATAGGCACATCCTAGCTCGTGAGCCAGCCAACAGATTTAATGTAGTTGACAAGAGGTACTTGTATTATATCGGCCGGTGTTAGTTGATACTCGCCGAACATAAATCTTCTAATAAATGAGAGCGTCAAGCAATCGTAAAGGATATGCTTGATGGTATCATCTTCTTGTTCGCACCCTCTGCAGAGTGCGGATTCTGACAGCCCCATGATATGGAGATGCTTCCGTACTTGGCAATGACCAGTCAGAATGCCTGTGACTAGGCACATATTCTGTCTAGTCATAGTCAAGTATTTGTTTGCTGCACTGTTGTCAGGATAACTTAAGAGGTCCCTAGCAACTCTGCAGTTTCTTGTTTTATCCCATCCTCCATGAATTTCACAAGGGAATGTTCTTTAATTAGGTTTGTCACTACCGATTTTGTCAAACCAATAGAAGGGCCAGGTCCAAAAACTATTTGGTTGGCTGCTTTCTTGGCTAGTGAATCAGCAAGACGGTTACCTTTGAATGTGGCGTGACCTTTGATCCATTGTTGATGGATACTTCGGCCAAAGGTTCGTGACATTCTAGTACTAACCCTGAGTAAATTCGTGGTCTGTTCAGGGTGAATAGTGCTTGTTTGCTCTCTGTATAGTTAAGCATGTTCCTTTCAATGAGTATATTCCACATCCTGCGCCTTGTTCTATTTTAGAACCGTCGGTGTAGATATGAATCGTACCTGCCACTTCCGGATCTTCTATTTGTTCTATTATAACTTTATATGGCTTATGGAAGATATATCTCGGTGAGATGGACTTCATGTTCGCCTGAAGCAATGGAAGCGTATCATGCGCCTCCTGCCAAAAGCGACGTCTTGTCTCACCAGATCCTACATCAGGTTCTCTTCCAACCGTGCGGAGGCGTCTCATTGTCGTCAGAGCAACCTCCTTGATGTAAATATCAATGGGAGTGAGACTAAGAATGATTTCAATGGCTCTGGTCGGTGTTCTTTTCATGGCTCCTATTATGTTTAGAAATGCTGTTCTTCGAATTTGTTCTAGTTTACGGATAGCTGTTAATGTTTGGATTTTAGGTACCCAGACAACTGTACCGTACGTTAGCCGTGTTTTTAGTAATTTTTAACTCACCCTGTAACTAATAATAATTTACGTTATATATTGTATTGAAAATATTGCTTATTGTTAGTAAAGCGTTATTCTTGAAATATATCTATAATTATAGTAGTTTGTTAAGAGGTACGCCTTTTGTAAAAAATGGCCAAGTTGCAACTACAACGCCCTATGTAACAAAAACTTGAGGAAGTAGACAACCGTAGAATACTAAATATTTACTTTATATTATCTTTTGAATATTTGTTTTATACATATATTTAACCACATTTGTCTCGTTATTTTTAATGTTGTCTTCTACATCTTGTTTCTCTTCATGTATTTCTTTGACATGATCATTTGGTACATTCTTTGCTTCTTCCAATCGTCTATCATCTATATTTTCGGTTTTATTATTTTTATCTTCAAACTTGATAATTATTTCATCATCTTTATAATTAGAAACAAATATTTTGGCATCATTTGTATCAGTTTTGCTCTTCTGATTATCTGGTAGATCATCTTGAAGAGAGTTACTAATATTTTCGGTAATTTTGTTTGTAATTCTTTCTTTTCTAACTGATTCTAGAAAATTTTGTTCTGGTACAACATGTTTCACTCTTGTTTCAGTTTCATCGTCTTTTATATATTCTCTTTTATCATATTGTGAATACTCATTTACTCCTTCTACTGGTATTGGTATTTTTACAGGAACTTTCACAGGATATAGTACTTCTTTTTCCACAAGGTACGGTACCGGTCTAGATACTTCTACTTTTATGGGGTACGGTACTGGTTTTTCTACAGGTACCGGTATAAACTTTTCTTCAGTTACTGCTACTGGTTGTTCTATTTTATAAGGTACCGGCCTCTTTGAGAAAAATCTCACAGGGTAGCGAATAATTTTTTCAACGGGATATGGCTTGGGTACTTTTATAGGTATTTTTACTGGTACTCGCACTTCTTTTATAATAGGATAAGGTTTTGGTACTTTGATCGGTACTGGTACAGGTGTTAATTTGAGTACAGGTACTGGATATGGTACTTGTACATGTTTTATTATAGGTACCTCTACTGGTACGGCAATAGGTACTGGTACTTCTTTGATAACTGGATATCTATGAAAAAAGTAGACTTCCTGTTCTTCATAAACTTTATAAGGAACATAAATGGTTTTTTCTACTGGATAATACTGTTTAGATGGCAGTAGGAGATTGGTGTCTACTGATTCTACTGTATTTGAAATAGTGGCAAATGTAAATGTGATACGCAATGCCAGAAAGATGATCTAAAAAAATTAAATTAATTATGAATTTATTTATTTTTAACAAAGTTAAAATAAAATCATTATTTGTTTGATGGAAGATTGTGTTAAATATGTTGCTGCACAACCTACTAAGTAAGTGAACTATCAAAGGTCTTGTCACTGTCATTCTGTCTAGAAAAGTAAGTTGTCGGTTGTCACAAAAGTATTGGCAGTTACAAGTTGCTTGTACTTTTCTACTTAATATACGTTTCCTAATTTACCTAAAAAGGTGTTTGATTTTATTCCCATAAAAGATTGAAATTTCATTTTTATAATTTGAGCTAAATATCACATTAAAATTATTATTCACTGTTTAGGAAAATAATAATAATAGATTTTATTTGTTGCACTAGTGTCACACTCGACACGGTATTCGAACTGTCATACTTGTCAAAAGTATATACTACACTCAAGTATGTGTCAAATATTTGAAGCTACACTGAACAAATCAAATGCGATTAGTGCAGAAAACTTACACGTAGTGCAACATATCTAATAGTGGATATTATTTGTTGCACTTGGTGTAAGTTTTCTGCACTAATCGCATTTGACTTGTTCAGTGTAGCTTCAAATACTTAAGTCTAACACATACTTTTGACAAGTATGACAGTTCGATTACAGTGTAGAATGTGACACTAGTGCAACAAATAAAATCCATTATAAACTAATAATGATCAAAACACAAATATTAAATAATAAAGTTACACTTATTATTTTTTTTTTTGAATTTTTATATAAATATTAAAAATAAACTTACAATTTCTTGAAACATGTTTCTATTGTACCTGCAGTTCTTATAACGACAAACTAGAGACATTTTTTGTATTAATCCAGTTATATATAGAGATATATTTTTCCTATTTAACAATATTTTAGTTGACTGATTTTGATTTGATAACCAGACCATTGTTTGTGTTCATACATACATGTATGAATTCCTGCATTATTATGTAATTTTATTAAAATAAAAAGCATCTACAGCTCTGTCGTTTCCATTTTAAAATAAAATATTGGTAATACATGCAGTCAACGAAAAAGATTTCGAAACATGTTTTTCAATATTATATGAATTTAATTGTTTATAGAAGTCAAAAAAACAAAAAATAAAATGTGATGGTGGATGGATTTAAATAATTTTCTCTATAATTTGTTGCTGGATGATAAATTTAACCAAAGAATAACGTATTAAATGATAAATAAATAAAAGAAAAGCTAATTTTCCTTTAATTGGTTTTGTGTCCTATTTTATAATAAGAAAAACATATTTAATTTAGTTATAATGTAAATTAATATTTTTAAAGGAAAGTTTCTGTTATCACTAATTGTCTACAGTTCATTTAACATATTTTGCACCAAATAGACCATAAAAAAATATAAAATTGATTATATTTGCATACTTATTTTAATCTAAAAAATGTAACATTTAGGAATTCTGCGCCATCTAACAAGATTCATTTACACCTAATAAAAATTATTAAATTCTACATTCTAGACCTCTCTACGGAATAATAAATTACAACTGGTGTTACGACTTGCTTAGAACTTTTACATGAAGATGGCAGTAGTAGTGGGTAATTGTAATTTTTAAAAGAAGTTTCCCCAGAGATTGTAATAATCAGTGGCAACGATAAGGCCCCCGCAAGCTCCGCGGCCCGAGGGGCCCCGGCCGAATAGAACCCTCCCCGAAATTATTTATCAAATAATAAAGTTCAGGAAATCCGACTGCAAAAGTAAAAAACTCAGAAAAAAGTAAAAACAATCTTTGAAATAAAAAAACATTAAACTTGGAACTTAAATTACACTTGGAACAATGTGCCAATAATTTTTTAATTTTGAAGAAATGACGATTTGGAAAGCAACATTGCGATTAGCAAATTTTGCATTAGTAAGTTTATTTTACATTATTTTTTATATTTTTTGCGTTATTTATAATTTTTAATTTTATTACCATAATAACAATTAGCAGTGGCGGATCTAAAGGGGGACCAGATGGACCCGGGTCCCTATCAAACCTCATATTTCGTATGTTTTCTCTTTACGGTTGATTCACATTTATCTCCTTCTTATATATGTATTGTATGGAGCCCCCCCCCCAACAAAATATGTCTAGATATGCTACTGACAGTTAGTACTTATATAATCACATAATAATACTTGGCATTCTATATGATAACAACCCCCCTTTTAACCCCCAATTTTTAATCAGATTTTTTTAGAGTCAACAAGCTTTATCCCCCCCCCGTAAAAGCTTTATTTTTCCGGAAGAATTCAAGTTGATATCGTTTTTTGTTTCAGAGTTAGGGTTTTATTTTAATATTTTAATCCCTCTGAACCCCCTATTTTTATTCAGATTTTTTAAAAATCAATAGCCTTCGTCCCAATGTAGAGCTTAATTTTTCCTGAAAATTTCGAGTTAATATTGTTTTTCGTTTTTGTTTTATGATTTTTTTTTAAGTTTCAACCCTTTCCCCTTAACCCTTCTATTTTTAATAGGATTTTTTAAAATCAATTATAGAGCTTGATTTTTAATAAAAATGTTATGTTGATATCGCTTTTCGTTGTTAATTAATGTTTTTTTAAATCTCAACCCCCTTAACCCCCCCTATTTTTGTACGTTTTTTTTAAATCAATAGGCTTCGTCCCCTTATCGAGATTGATATGTCCTAAAATTTTCAAGTTGATATTGTTTTTCGTTTTTAACTTTTTTAATCAGATTTTTTTTTAATAATAGGCTTCGTTCTATTATAGAGCTTAATTTTTCCTGAAATTTTCAAATTGATATTTTAATCCCCCTTAACCCCTCCATATTTAATCAGATTTTTTTCAAAGTCAATAGGCTTCGTACCCTTCTAGAGATTGAATTTTTCTGATAATTTTAAGTTCATATCATTTTTTATTTTCTTATCGCGCAGGCAAAAAACGTGACATCGGACGGACAGACGGACGAACATTTTTAAAAGTTGTTTAAAATTTGATGAGAAGGATTTTGGTACAAAAATATTTAAATTTGGATGATTATTAAAAATATTGGTTTCTTGAAAGTAAACCTATAATACTCTTTACAGACTACTGTGTGAAGAGTATAATATATAAAAAATTGACTTTTAACAATGAATTAAATAAAAATATTAAATCATAACGAAGTAAATTACTGAGGCCCTTCCTATGGGCTCAGGTGCAATTTGGTAAATTACAATGTTGTTACATGTCTTTGAAGCATATTTCATTTCGTTATCAGATTTCGGTCGAAATTTCCAGTGGGCTCTCTTACTATAACCACCAGTCTTCTGTGCATCCTGAATTTGTATACCTGGAGTGGATGTTATTTTGGAACATCCAATTAGTCCAAGTGAGCTAACTGATTATTTAGCCATAAACTGTGACTGTGATGTGTGAATGGCTCTTAAATGTCAAATTATTACTGAGGCCCTTCCTATGGGGCCTCAGTATAGCATTCGTGCAGACGAAAACATTTTCTTACCCCCATTTTTTAAAACTTTGTTTTATGTTTCCGATCATTCTGAGTCCGAAAATGCAAAAAAAAAATTCGTCTGGTCGTCTATGTGTATGTATGCCGGCACAATAACTCTAGAACGAAAGTTCTGATTGACTTGCGGTTTTGATTTGCTTGAATAATTACTTCTTGGAACACTATTGATTTTCAGAATTTTCGGTTCATCCTAACTACTTTAATATCAATTTTCTTAAAATCCGCTTATGCATTTCTTATGTGACAATTTTAGGAATTCCAATTATTTCTAACGTCAACATTCCTAAAATTCTTTACATTCCATAAATTGCAAACATTCTCTAACGACCTGTCAAACAACAGCTGTTGATAGTAAAGGTGAAATTTCTAAGGCGGGTTGCGACCTTCATATTTGCAACTATAGCCATTTTGGAGGCTATTTTTATTCGAAATTAGTAGTCAAGCGTGCCAATTTATGAAAAATATATAAGCAGTTCTTAAAAATTATTTTTTTATGGTGGTGCGAACTTAAGCGTACTATTATTTGGCCCCTAGCCACAAAAACACCTTCATCAAATTTACTGGCTCTCTGTCGCAACCCCATAGAATAATTAACCAGCCATTTTATTTAGCAAAAATCAGAATAATGCTTGGCTGTGCCTGTCAAGTATTAAGATGTCAACTGTGATGTGTGAATGGCTCTTAAATGTCAAATTATTTAAAAATATATGCTTCTTTTGATATTTATTGCAAATAATTTGTAATGTATCTCAATTAAGGCTCTCCATAAATAAAGGTACAGCAAGACAAATAATATAATGTTCTTATACAAAGCACTTTTTTATTATATAAAAGAGAGGTAGGATATAATGCTGGTTTACATATTCAACCAGCGAATTGTAAATAATAATTAGTAAACTCCTAGTCATAAATTTCCTCAATTCATAAAATTTAAAAATGAATCATCTTACCTTGAGATTTTAATGACGTAATGTGATCAACCCATTTCAAATTTTGATCAATTATGTTACAGACGTATTTTGTTGTGTTTTATTCATTTTATACTATCTTTTTAGTTAAGAACTTCCTAAATTAATAAGACTAGAACATCTTTATCGTTGCAATTAATATAATGCAGCGTGAATACCCCGAGTTTTTGGCTAACAATATGTGCGATAAGATCTTCGTCCCATATTCATTGTATCAACCACTAATTACAAATTGAATATTATGCTTTTGCTGAATGAAATTTTGAAGAAGTTGCCCTGACATAACATGTGGTTAAATGTCTTTTGTTGAATATCGAATGACTGAACAAGTTCCATTGTTGCGGAAGTGGAATATTTGTTGTCATTTTATATATCAATTGATTTCTTGGATCCTCTCTTTTGACGTGTTATATTTTTGATATAATTTTCTTTCAGCTACCCTTTAATCATTAAATTTATATTCTTTAAATGATGTGCAATTTTTGGGCTTTCTCAAACCTTGAAATGTCTATATTTCTTCCCAATTTACTAGTTTTTTTAATATGTAAAACAAATACTTATTAAGAATGATAAATTATCCATATCTCAAGTTTAAAACCTTCATTAACTGATTTTTTGATTAAAAAGACTAAGTCCTCAACTGAAGAAGATGCAAATTGCAGCCATACAGCAGATTTTCAGACATAAATAAATCAAATAACGCCATTCATCGTCAACTAATGTTCGTGAGTTAGACGCCTTTTCTTTTGATAAAAAACTAAATGATGATCTCAAATATAAACTGTTGACGTCTGTGTGGAATCCAGATGAAAAGAAGGCAATCAAAAGCTGAACGCATTAGTTTTAAAACCATTTAATAAATGGAAAATTGAAGTCTTTGAATGACAAAGAATTCATAACAATTTCTAGAATAGTTTCACGACAACAGAATCGTTTTAATGTTATGGTAGCACAAGAATATTTTCGTATTACAGTGTTGCAGTTCCCTTTTTTGATGATTTGACAGAACAATTATCATAAAAATCATAAAAACACACTTTCGTCATTATATTTTTTTACTGCCTACGATGTGTGTTACACACATACTGAAGTTAAAAGATTTTTCTTTATACAAGCAATTTTGATACCTTGTATGCAGAGTTACAGTTGTGAAAACAAAAACGAACGGGATTTTCCCAAATTGACAGACCGATAAATCCTATTGAATCATTATCAGCATGTAATGAATCTGTTTCCCAATATACATATTCTTTTAAAAAATTCTTTCAACATTACCTGTATTAACAGCTTCGACAGAAAGATCATTTTCAATACTAAGACGTTTAAAAGATTATTTGTGTAATTCAACTGGCCAAAGTC